AGAGACTTGCCAGGAAAGGTTAATGACCAGGTCAGACACCCTTTGATATTCAGCTGTTAATTGCAACCTTCCATATATGAAATGCAGATTGTTCTCTGGAAAGTTTTTGACAACAGTCATATTTTTACTGTTGGTATTTGCGTACGGGCGGTATTACCTGCTGCGCCCCCGGCTGATTACTGTAACTGTTTTTTCGATCCTGTTTTTACAGTTCCTGCTGCTGAAAAAAAAACAGTGGACCCAGGCTTCAGGGGGCTGGTGGCTGCCTGCCAGCGCTCCCCCATCACCCATACAAATACCTGCCACAGAGAAGCTGTTCCAGGCCTTGATGGAGTACAATGAATGCTTTTTTGCGTTGATTGATGAACAGGGCCGTTTTCTTTTTCTTAGCAGTGCTGTTTTTCGGATCACAGGATGGGAGGCGGCTGTTTTCAGAGAAATTCCCTATGAACGTATGCATCCGGCGGATATAATGCCGACGAGGGAAACCATCTCAGCAGTAGCAAAAGAACCAGGTAAAACAACGCCGCTGGAATTAAGGCTGCAGCACAAAAACGGCCACTATATCTGGTTGCACGGCACCATCAGCAATCTGTTGCAGGAACCCGGTGTTGGCGGCATGGTTATCAACCTGCGCGATATTACTGCACAAAAAGAAGCAGAAGAAAAAAATGGCCGTGCCAACCGTTTGTATTTTTTCATCAGCCAGATTAACCAGATGATTGTGAAGACAAGGGACGAAGCGACGCTTTTCAAAGAAGCCTGCCAGATTGCTGTTGATATTGGAAAATTCAGGATGGCATGGATTGGACTGATAGATCCGTCTACGAAAACACTGCAGCCGGTTACCTACGCAGGGGAAGAAGATGGCTACCTCACAAAAATAAATATCAGTTCTGTGGGCGAAAAGCCTGAAGGAAGGGGACCTACCGGCACCGCATTAAGAGAGGGCAGGTATATTGTTTGTAACAACATTGAGCAATCGCCCGAAATGGCACCCTGGCGGGAGGCCGCTATTGGCCGCGGATACCTTTCCTCTATATCGCTGCCCATAACAAAATCAGGCGCTGTTGCCGGTGCTTTTACTTTGTACGCCCCGGTAACAGATTTTTTTAGTGCAGGAGAAATTGATTTGCTGAAAGAAGTAACCGGCGATATCTCTTTTGCATTGGGGATTTTTGAGACCGAAAAGCAACGGAAGATGGCAGAAGAAGAACAGGTGAAAAGTCAGCAGCGCTACCGAACACTTACCGAAGTGGCGCCGGCGGGTATTTTTCATACCGATGCCTCCGGCTACACTACTTATGTAAATCCAAGGTGGTGCCGTATTTCGGGCATGTCTGCCGGCGAAGCGCTGGGTAACGGCTGGCTGAATGCAGTGCACAAGGATGATAAAGCGGGAGTTATCAGGGGTTGGGAGGCTGCTACAAAAAAAAGTGATCTTTCATTTTCAGAATACCGTTTTGTACGGCCCGACGGGAGCATTGCATGGGTACTGGGCCAGGCCATACCGGAACGCGATACTGAAAACCGGATTATTGGCTATGTAGGCATTATTACAGATATTACCGAACGCAGGGAGGCGCAGGAAAAAATTGACAATATCTACCGGGAAAAAGAAACGGTACTGAACCGTATCAGCGATGCCATGATATCTATTGACAATAATTGGCGGTACACCTTTATCAACGACGCGGCAATGACCGACCACCCTTTAAGCAAAGAAGCCAGCATTGGTAAAATTATCTGGGATATACACCCTGAAATGAAGGGCACCATTTTTTGGAAAAAATACCACCAGGCCATGCATGACAGAAAAGTGGTGGAATTTGAAAACTTTTACCCGCCCTTTAACAGGTGGTTCTCCGTAAAAATTTACCCGGCAACTGACGGACTCACCATCTTCTCCAGGGACATCACAGAATACAAAAAAACTGAAGAACAAATTCTTAAAAATGAAATACGACTGCGCAAAGCGCAGGAAATTGGCAAGATGGGCTACTGGCAGCAGGAGCTGAACAGTGATATTGTATGGGCCTCCAAACAGGCGATGACTATTTATGGCTTCCCGCCGGTAGAAGGAGAACTGACCAAGGAACAGATCGCGGGCTGCATTGTTGATATAGATAAAGTACAGGAAGCTTTTACCCAGCTGGTGGAACACAACAAACCTTATAAAATTGAACTGCGGATTAAACCGGCCGACGGTGGTCCTCTAAAGTACATATCTGCTTTGGCTGAGCTGGAAAAAAACGAACATGGCGAACCCGAACGCATTGTTGGAACCTTGCAGGATATCTCTGAAAGGATAATGGCAAAAAACGAGATTATCAAAGAAAGGATACTTTCCGATTCTGTTATCAACAGCCTGCCCGGCGTAGTATACTTGTACAACAAAGAATTCAGGTTTCTGCGCTGGAATAAAAATTTTGAAACTGTTACCGGATACAGCGCCGAAGAAATAAAAGAAATGCACCCGCTCGATTTTTTTGATGAGACTGAAAAAAGTTTAATTGCCCGTAAAAAAGACAGCACTTTCAAATTGGGAGAAGCCAGTGTACAGGCCGCCTTTCTGCTGAAAACAAAAGAAAAAATTCCTTACTATTTTACCGGCAAAGCCATTAAATATGAAGGAACCGATTGCCTGGTGGGCGTGGGCATCGATTTTACGGAACGCATCAACGACCAGCAGAAAATAAAAGAAACCACGGAGCAGCTGCGCCAGTTAACTGCCCACCTGCAAAGCATCCGCGAAGAAGAACGCAAAAGAATTGGTCGTGAAATTCATGATGAACTGGGGCAGCAGCTGACAGCTATTAAAATGGACATTGCATGGATTGACAAAAAAACCCCTGAAGAAGCCGTTATGCTGAAGGCTAAGTTAAGAAATGTGATTACCCTGCTGGACGGCAGCAACCAATCCATCAGGCGAATTCTGAGTGAATTGCGGCCGGTAATTCTTGATGACCATGGCCTGGTAGATGCTATGGAATGGATAGGCAAACAACTGACCGGCCATACAGGTATTGCACTGAAATTCACCAGTACCAGCGCAGATGTTATACTGCCGGAGCAGGTGGCCACCTGCATTTTCAGGGTATACCAGGAAGCGTTGACCAATATTGTAAGACACTCCGGTGCAAGTCGTGTAGCAGCTTCACTATCCCTGGAAGGCAATAGGGTAATAGTATCTATTGAAGACAACGGCCGCGGCTTTACCCCCGGGGAGGTGCAGGGGAATAAATCGTTTGGCATCCTGGGCATGAAAGAGCGGGTACTTTCGCTGGGGGGGATGTTTGAACTGGAAGCTGTACCCGGTAAAGGCACCAGCATCAGTATTGAACTGCCCATAACTGTATAAAAGAATCCTGATAACCTTACAATATGAAAAGAATTCTACTGGCAGACGACCACAGCTTTATACGCCTGGGACTTATCCAGATCCTGAAAGACGAATACCCCTCTGTCGAAATTACTGAAGTAAGCGATGGAGACTCGCTGGTAAAACAAGTAATGGATCACGACTGGGATCTGGTGATTTCGGATCTGGATATGCCGGGCCGGGGCGGACTGGAAGCATTGAAACAGGTGAAGCTGATTAAACCCCAGTTACCGGTACTGATACTCAGCATTTTTACAGAAGATCTGTACGCGGTAAGGGTATTGAAAGCCGGCGCCGCTGGTTATATGAACAAAAATGTGGCGCCCTATGAGTTAATTAAGGCTGTTAACAGGATACTTTCCGGCAGAAAATACATTACCCCGGAGGTTGCCGAGAAACTGCTGGACAACCAGGAAAATGGCAAAGAGCCCCACGAACTGCTTAGCAACAGGGAATTTGAGATCTTTAAATTGCTGGCGCTGGGCAAAACCACCAGCCAGATTGCTGAGGCACTCTCAGTTGCCATGACCACTGTAAGCACCCACCGGAGCAGAATAATGGAAAAATTAAACTTATCTACCAACTCAGAGCTTACCCGCTATGCCATCATGCATCATATTATCGCAGATGTGTAGCGCCGCTGCATGCAACCGGCGTATGTAGAACTGCTACTACAAAGAACACCCGCAACTTCTATTGCAATAGCAACCTGCTTCTATGCCCTTTTACGCCGTGAAGGATGTTCTTTGCATGGTTAACAAACACCATGAAGGTACTGATAGCCGACAAATCGCCGCAGATTGTGCGACGCCTGGAAGAGATGCTGCTAAACACCATCAACGGCGTAGTTGTTTGCAGTACTTCCTCGTACGAAAACTGGGAGCAGCTTTTACAAGCGCAGCAGCCCGACATTGTGCTGCTGGGCATAAGTCTGCCGGAAAACGAATGCCTGCAACTGATTGGGGAGATAGAAAAAGCAGCGCAGAAAATAACGGTAATTGTATTGTCAACAAATACCAACCCATTGTTTTACGAACAATGCAGGGGGCTGGGTGCGCATTATTTTCTTGACAAATACTATGAGTTTGAAAAAATCCCGGACCTTATACGTGCCGTTACCGGTCCCGGCAAAACAATGTCCTGAATTCAGCTAACAAAGAAAAACCACTATACAATGCACAGGCAACCCAGCCACGTGAAGAGAGCAATTAGAAAAAAAAGATGGTTAGTGCCTGTGCTTATGTTATCTGTATTGCTGGCGGCCGCTTCATGGTATTTACTGCACAGCTACCGTCAGCAGGAGCAGGCCACTACAAGCTATAATAATTTTCTCCTGCGGGCAAATCCTGGCTTACATGCATGGATATACCCCGCCATTGCCGTTGCCACCCTGTTAACCGGAGCACTTTTCACCTTGCTGCTGGTAGAAATACGCGTCCACAAAAAAATTATTGAAGAACTGCTTGCTCAAAAAGAACACTACCGGGTGGTGGTACACAGCATGGCAGAAGGATTAATAACAACCGGCCCGCAAGGAGAAATACATTATATGAATCCGGCTGCCGAAAAACTAACCGGTTGGACTGCCAGTGAAGCACTGCACCTGCCACTGGAAAAAGTGTACGATGTGGTAAATGAATCTACCGGTCTGCCGGCAGAACCTATTGCCAGGAAAATTCTAAGAGAGCAACAGCCGGTGCAGCGGCAAAACAATACCCTGCTGTATACCAGGAACAGGGGAAAAAGAGTCGTGAGCAACAGCGGCGCCCCCCTTTATGATGCCCTTGGTAATGTATACGGGGCAGTACTTGTTTTCAATGATACCGGTCAACAAAACAAACAGGAACCCCTCTCGCCTGGCAATGAAATCTCTTTCAAAGCAGTTATAGAAAATCTGCCCGAAGCTGTTTTCACCTGCGACACAGAAGGCTACGTTAGACTTTACAACAAAGCAGCTGCAGCACTCTGGGGCAGGCAACCTGTACCCGGTAAAGAACTGTGGACAGGTGCGTGGAAAATACTTGATAAAGACGGGATGCCAATAGCGCCCGAAAACTGCCCCATGGCAATTGCCATCAAAGAGCAAAGGGCCGTACACGGACAGGAAGTTACCATACAGCGCCCCGATGGAAGCCTGCGGCACCTCCTCTCTCACCCATCGCCGCTGTTTAATGCCACAGGTAAATTGACCGGGGCGATTAATATGCTCACGGATATTACTGCACGAAAAAAAACAGAATTGCTTTCATTGCAGGCGGTAGAACGGTACGATATACTGCTGAAAGCCACCAGCGATACCATCTGGGACTGGGATATTGTGAACAACCGGATGATTTACAATTCCGGTATTACAAAAATGTTCGGCTACCAGATAGCAGCAGTGGAAGACATTTTTAACTGGTGGCGGGCAAATGTTCACCCGGACGACCTGCAGATGGTAATGGATGCCTATTTTGGACCGGTGGAAGATACCCTCGAAAACATTCAGCAGGAGTACCGTTTTCGCTGCGCAGACGGCAGCTACAAATACATTTACGACAGGGCATTTATTCTGTACGATGACCAGCAGAAGCCCACCCGCGTAATAGGATCCATGCAGGATATTACCTATAAGAAGGAAGCTGAAAAAAGATTTGCCAAAGCCATCATTGATGCCCAGGAAAAGGAAAGGCGCTATATCGGCGAAGAACTGCATGATAATGTAAACCAGCTGCTGGCAAGCGCTATGCTTACGCTGAGCATGGTTAAACACTTTGAAAACGACCCGGAAAAAATGGCCGAGTTTGCTGAAAAGGCCAAACAATACACCGGTACAGCATTAAACGAGATACGCAAGCTGTCGCACGACCTGGCACCAGCCACCATTGAAGACAGTACGCTTAAAAACATATTTGAAAACCTGCTGCAAAGCATCAACATAAAAAACCAGTTCAGGATTCTTTTCCATTTTGATGACAGGGTCAATAGCCTGCTGTGCCACGACACTCAGATTAATCTGTACAGGATACTGCAGGAGCAGGTAAAAAACATCCTGAAATATGCTGGTGCAAATAGCATTACAGTTGAAGTAAAGCCGACAGGCAGCAACGTTACTATGATCACCAGTGACGATGGCATCGGTTTCGATACTAAAAAAACTAAAAAAGGCATTGGCCTCAGCAATATGAAAAGAAGGGTGGAATCACTGGCGGGCAAGCTGCTGATTACTACCTCGCCCGGCAACGGATGTACCATCACCATCGAAGTTCCATATGCCCACCCCGCTGATGAAGCTGCAAAAGCGGGTCCTTATTAAACGGCTATACGCTGCTATAACTATTTTTCCCGGCCATCCGCCCGCTGTGCAAACAGGAGATGACCGGGAAAAAACAGCAGCGTAATCAACTATCGGGCATATGTCTGTGGATTTCAATTACCCTTCTTTGTAAACATCATTGTCTTTGAAAAAGTAGCTGTTAAGACTGCGCCCTGTACACCAATCCATCCAGCACAATTTCTGTAACGCCATCATGCTTCACCACTCTTTCTTTAACAGGATAGTAACCGCTTTTCTGCACTTTAGCAGGTTGTGGAATGGCTCTTTCAAAATTGCTGTTGTTTTTCAGGAAGTCCAGCGTAATCATGGGCTCATAAAAATTTACTTTGCCGTCGTATGAACCGTAGATGAATGTTTGGGTAAAGGGCTGCCCATTCAGCTCAGGAGAAGTTACATCTATCCAGTGAGCACCCATTTGCGGCACACCACCACCGGGGTTAATGTAATTGGCAGGGAAATAAGCAGGAGCCGGGAAATTTTTAAATTTAAGGCTGTCCAGTTCGTATGGAGGGATGGCCGCAACCGCTTCCGGGCTCATCATATAAAAATGAAAATCGAAATGGGGCTTACCATAAATGGGCGCTGGCTCATGGCCCATCGGGTTCCAGTCGAGGCCCAAATGATCAAAAGCCGTAATCCCTGCTTTGGGATGCAGTTTTAATACCCAGTTATTTTCACCGCTGTGGTCGTGCCCCGTCTCTCCATCGCCACCAACAGGCAGGCTGTTCAGTGCGGCGTCGGTAATGGTTACCCCCATTCTTTCGGGCAAACCTGTTTTGCTGAACTGTATCCAGGTCCAGGCTTTTCCATTGTGCACCTGTACTTCCGGACCTTTGAAAACACCGCTTTTCTCATCATTGTCTTTTTTACAGGAAGTTGCAATGATACCAATTGTCAAAAAAAGAAGGCTGATTTTTTTCATAAATGTAGTTTTACTGTTTTAAGTATGCAGCAAAACTGTAAAAAAATCGTTCCGATGTCCAGCACCTCCTGCATCAATTGCCAATACCCATGCATGAACTGCAGCACTGCGTTATCTTTTCAGTAAAGTTGCTGTAAACAGCAGCTTTAGTATCTTTATTGTTCACCAGCACCCCAACAGAACAAATGATAAAGACCATTTCTCTCATTGCACTTTTCAGCCTGTTGTTTTCTATAGGTTGCCGGCAACCGGAGCAAAAGGTAACGGCAGACAGGGTAATTGGCAAAGGGCAAATGCCCAATATTGCTACCGGTAAAGACAACCGCCTCCATGTGGTGTATGGCAGTGGGGATAGTATTCTTTATTCCGTTTCGGGTGATGGAGGGAAAACGTTTTCAATACCGGGTCTGGTGGCGGTGTTGCCGGCACTGGCCGCCGCTCACATGCGCGGACCACAGATAGCAGCTACCAGCAAAGGGCTGCTGGTACTGGCAGTAACAAAACCGGGCGATATTTATGCTTACACAAAAGACAATAATGGCGAATGGAAAGCGAACGGTAAAATAAATGATATTGATACCGTGGCAAAAGAAGGCCTGATGGCGGTAAGCAGTGATCATGAACTTGTTTTTGCAGTCTGGCTGGATCTAAGAGACAAGCACAATAAACTGGTGGGCGCAAAGTCTGCAGATGGGGGTAAGACCTGGTCAACAAACAACATCGTGTATGCCTCACCAGATACTACCGTGTGTGAATGCTGCAAACCATCTGTAGTGGTACAGGACCAACATGTATATATAATGTTCCGCAACTGGCTGAAGGGGAACAGGGATATGTATTTGATCCACTCTGCCAATGCCGGTGATAGTTTTGAAGCAGCACAAAAACTGGGTGAAGGAAGTTGGGCGCTGGACGGCTGTCCAATGGACGGCGGAGCATTGCAGGTCAACAGCAAGGGCATTCCAGAAACCGTGTGGCGCCGCAAACAAACCATCTATGCATGTATACCCGGCCAGCCGGAAACCGCCCTTGGGGAGGGAAAGGGCTGTACGCTTACCATTGCAGCTAACAGGAACATATATGCATGGACCAACGACGGCAATATTATGATCCGAAAACCCGGAGGCGCTGACATCAACCTGGGAAAAGGCCAGCTTCCGCTGCTGAGTAATAACGGCAATGCACAGGTGACCTGCATCTGGGAAAGCGATAAACAAATTCATGCTGCTACAGTAACCTTGTAGCAATCACTGCTGCTGCAGATTCAGCAGCGCGGTCATTTGCACAGCTACAGCTGCTGTATCATCAGTATTAACCGGCAAACTGAGTACAATCTTTTCTGAAGGATACCGGTAACCGGCAACTTTATCGTAATAACCCAGCAGCAGTACTGCCAGCTGCTCCCATTCCGCCTGCTCCAAATATTTAACTGCGTGCTGCAGGTTTTCTTCCCCCAATTTTGCTTTCAATTTTTCAAGACAGCTACAGAACTGAACGGGATTGGCACGCCGGATAAATGCTGCAATCCTGTTC